GCGGGCGTGCGGGCGGGCGGGCGGGCGGGCGGGTGGGCAGGCGTGCGGGCGTGCGGGCGTGCGCGTGTGAGAATTGTGCGTGTGGGTGTGCTTGTAGGTCTGGGTGTGGGAGTGGGGGTGCATGGGCGTGTGCGTGTGCGCGTGCATGTGCGTGTGCGTGTGCGTGTCAACATTCGGCCCGTGAAGGTTTAGAGTTTGCATGCCTGGTGGCCACATTTTTCAATCATGTGGGCACACATGCTCCAAATAGACAGCAAGACAAGAAACTGATCATCCTCAAGGTGTATCAAGAGCTGCTGTGCAGAAAAGCAGCACAAGTATGTTGCGAAGTATCCAGACTTGTGCATAAGGCGTAAGCCCTAAACCCTAAGATGAAATCACTGCTTCTCTGAGCCCCAAAACAAACAAGTTGATGCCGGGCGCTGCAACATCTTCGCGCTAGCTCAACTCCTCTGGTTTAGGGTTCAGGGTGGTCCTCTAAGCCAAAGCCTAAAACTCAGGCAGGGGACTTGAACCAGGCATACATGCCCTGCGATGGTGGATCCGCCGGCTTGGCGATAACCGGAGGCTGCCCCACTTTTGCAATGGCGATGCCGGAGAGGTCGAGATGATGGGAGACGCGCTCGAACTCGAAGTTGATCTCACCTCTGTTTCGGGTTCACAGAGCGCTTCGAGCCTAGCGTTTGGGGCTTAGGATCTGGCCTCTAGGCGAAGCCACTGCCACCCCGGAGAACTTGGCTCCGTTGCGAGTGTCCCCAACGCCTCTGCACTGAACGCCATGGTTCACGGACATCTTGGCTTCGCCTGCCCAATCGGTTCTCTCATGGACCATGTAGATCTGGTAGAGGTACTTTGCTGCTGGCATCAGCCCCTTCACGACTGCTGTGGCTACCCCGGCTATGTTTGTGAGAAAGCCCCGCGCGTAGTCTCTTGTAAGTGGCCACCCTGTCAAGTCTGCTGTGTACCCGTTGGCCAAGTCCACTGCGAAGGTTTGGTGACTCACATGCGTCAACTGCTGATTACCCCAGGAGTCGAAGTTCTTTTCGGTCTCCGGGGCAAGACGTTCCGAAGCCTCGAGCACGGCACCTGCCCTCAGCTTCCACTTCAAGTAGTCGACGGTGGCCACCATCTCCGCCTCTGACAACACCCTGTCCCAGGTGATCACCTCCATGACTGCAAAGTCAGACTTCTCATCCGCGCCATGATTGATGTACAGAGGTATCG